GCTAAGAAAAGCAATTTCATCGTTGGCCTGTAGTGACACCAAACGAAGAAACGTGAACGAATACCTAACCGTAAGGTACATAACCTATAAACATGCTCTACACCCGGTCAACTACAACTTCATCATGTCTCCCTAAAACAAATGTTGCGTAACAAGAAGACAGAAATCTTCATATTCACCGCTGTGAAAACCTCACATCATACAAGGCTCTTTTTAACAACATACCTGAATATTCTACTGACGAGGCAAACAGCGGATGACAGAAGTTCACGATCCTAGTTCCATCTTGAAACGAAATGGTCACTGAGGACAGAAAATTACAGTATTGACGTGTGTCATAGTAGATAAAGGCTAAAGATAAAACGTAATTGGTATCTCATTCAGCTAAGTGGAAAGCAGAAGGCCACACAAACATGGGCGGGGCAGTTTGCAGAAAGGGGATCACGATGAACCAGATAATAAAATCATGGAATAACAAACAAGGACACTCATACGAGAGCCTTCACTCCTCGACTTTATGACTAACTCAACGGAAAATAATCCTTCTTGAGAAGCTGATAGTCACCCAGCTTGTCAAGAATTTGCTGTCTTTAATGGAAACCATAGGTTCATTACCGTCCATGTGGTGGTCGGAGAATAAGAATAGCCCCACTATAGCCCATGCATGTCGTAAGAGGCGACTAAAATAGTACCTGGTGTCTGGGGGTTTAGCTGGGCCACCCTGTCTCCGGGAGGCCTGGTCCTTCAGGTTGGGGGTTGGACGTGAGGCTGACCTCACCCACTAAAATCATTTGTTATGAAAGCTCAGATCACAGAAGCCGGACGGACTATTGTACGACGAATAAGCAAACGAAGAAGGGCTAATTACTGGTATTTTTACGTGGAGTCTTCACAAAAAACGTTCTTTAGTGTTAGATAATGCCTAGTTGAAAGTTGCACTATGATCCGATTAAAATTCACAAATTTACAGGCTGATATTTGGTGTTCTCATTTTTCGCGTTTTCAGATCGTGAAACGCACCAATCTGGCACTTCGTTCATTTGCGTGCTGCGACCTCGTATTTAGTCTGAGAATATCACAGCAGCCGTATTGATATTCACTGACAGACATACGGTCCGATGGATGTTTGAAGACGTCATATCATACAAATGTTGATTATTTCAAACACAATTAACTACGAGTTGAACGTCATGTTCCTTCATAAATTACGTGTTAATGATAAAATACAATCAGTATTTAGCCTCACTGCCCCCACGAACGTATTAAGGTGGCGACTGACTTGTAACATTTGCCTGTAATGTAACGTGTTACAAATCGAGCATTGCACAAGTGAAGACAGCGAGCGGAGCCGCTCGATGCGAGCTGCTCACGCTCGCGGGCGCTCCATCGTGTTGTCGGTTTTTTCGCGAATCCCTTTGAGTGTTACATTACAAGTCAGTCAGTCAGTCGAGCGGCGTC